TCAATCTGATCATGTTTCCTCTTGAAAAACGAGTCTATTCTTGATGACTTTGACATATCCTAAAAATAAAAATAAACAATACAATTAATACTTAAAAAATAGTATAACCCTATATATGATTCATGAATTAAAAATTATATAAGCCTATATATGATCTAAGCTAGAGAGGATGAATTAAGACATTTATGAATGATGAATAAAGACACACATTGAGTGCTAGTTTTAAACCCTAAATCCATAAAAATAGAAAGGATAAATAAATCTAATTATGAACATGATCATAAATTAATGTACTCACAAATATGAAAAGATGATCAAATACTCAGAAGAATCAAGGAATTGTTGAGTATAATTGCTGCGATTTTTTTTTTTTTAATTTTTCTGTCTTGCCTGTGCGTCTGTGCGAAACGAATTGCAGAAAACTCAAATGTGAAATGTTTGTGTCTCTCGTTGTTCATGTGTTGGTGAGTGGTGAGGGCTAAATCTATTTTTAAGTTAATTAAAGTAGTCTATAGATTAGTTGGATTAAATATTAATAAAAAAAATAATATAATATTACATTACATAAAAGGTTGAAAGTTGGTCCTAGCCCACTTAATAAAGACAATAAATTTATTAGTCAATTTTTTAGGAGGCAAAATTAATTAAATATAATTAGACTATTATATTATATATATACTTAGGTGTTTAAAAAAAAAAAAAAGGGTGAACCATGGCCCCCCCATAGAACATGTATGTCCGCCCATGTTGCCACCTATTGACTACACATGCCACCTACTACAATAATACCTAACACAAGCTAATCTAACAAAACCACTTCTTACTTTATAGTATAGTATTATCATCAACTCCACAACCACATCGAAAAACCTCTTTCAATTCATTATTGATTCTTTTTTCTCATGTTTGTGTCAATTTTCACAAATATAAATACTTCACTTCTCTAAAATGGCTGGCCGTAATAATGATAGAGTCTCGTATCGTGTTTTCTTGGACGATATGCTTGACGATTCTTTGGAGCAAGTTGAATTTACATTGATGGAGGCCACGACTATGCAATTACAGCAAGTCGGGCAAGATGAAAGTTCAACTAGGCCTGAAAGACGAGAAGTCCCTCGAAATCGTGAAGTTGATCATGCCCTACTGATAAGAGATTATTTTGTTCCCGATCCCATATATATATATCACAAAGGCTACTTTCGTCGTAGATTTCATATGTCCAGCTGATTATTTTTTCGGATCGTTCAAGATGTCAAAGGTCATTCTGATTATTTTAAGTGTAGATCAGGTGCGGCACAAAGACCAAGTTTTACACCAATTCAGAAATGTACTATGGCTACACGTCAATAAGCATACGGAGCTCCTGCCGATCAATGTGACAAATACATTCGTATGTCAGAGAAGACGGTGAATCAAAGTCTGCTCGAGTTTAGTCGTGACGTGCAAGAAATATATGCACCCTAATATTTTTGGCCGCCAAATGCCAATGACATCCATTGTATACTTACATTACATGAGGAGAAACATGGTTTTCCTGGCATGTTGGGAAGTCTAGATCTTATGCACTGGGAGTGAAAAAATTGTCCTGATGGATGGAAAGGCTCGTACACTCGAGGGGACTATAGGGTACCCACGATTATGCTTGAAGCAGTGGCATCACAAGACTTATGGATCTGGCACACATTTTTTGGGCTCGCAGGACCACAGAATGATATATATGTACTTCACGAATCTCCATTATTCAATGATGTTTTACATGGTGTAGCTCCAGAAGTCAATTTTGTGGTTATAGAGACTCAGTATACCAAAGGATACTATTAACAAATGGTATGTATCCATAGTGAGTTGCATTTGTCAAAAGCTTTCAATCTTCAGGGATTCAAAAAGGAAAAAATTCAAGCAGAGGCAAGAGGCTGCAAAAAAACGTTAAGCGTGCTTTTTAGGTCCTCCAATCAAGGTGGATGATTATAGAAGTCATTCTCGTTTTTTGGCATAGAGAATATATTAGTGAAATTAAGTTATCATGTATCATTTTACGTAACATGATAATCGAGGACAAAGGCGAAAAAACTACCAACTGGTCTAATGATGAATGATAACCACCAACGTTAGCGCGTGAAGGGGTGTCTCCAAATTTTCGGTGCTACTTGCAGATAAGAGCTAAGGTGCAAGACAGACAAACCCACCATCAACTTCGACACGACTTGGTTGAACATATTTGGAATGAAGTACCTACTTCCCAAGATTAATATTTAGAAAAAAAAAAAAAAAAAAATTATACTCAAAACTTAACTTTCAACATCATGTCCTATGTTTCGTAATTTTTATAAGTAAGACTATACATTCGTACGTACTTAACACTATATAATTATAAATAATACACTATAAATATATTATTTTTTAGATGTATTTTTAATAAATATATGAAATATTTACATTTAATAAAAATGAAAAGTAGAGTTACAGTTTTAAAATATTAATAAAAATATAAGAATATAATATTAATTAAAAATAAGCGAAAAACATGTGAGATCCATACACAATGAAGTTTATTGTTATTTGAAGTTTATGGATGTAGGAATAAGAATGAATTTTGGGATGATGTGGCGTGTTGGAAAATGTAAAAGGAGATTTATGGAGCTTGTTTGTTAAAGGTGCTCTTACAGTCACGGATACATAAACCAAAGGGAAATTTTTAGGTGTCCTATGTGATTTTACTTAATTACAATTCTATCATATCTATATTAATAATTGTGTCTCTACCTAAAGCACCTTATTTATTTATATTAATGCCTAAATCAGTTACCATATCCGTTCAACCTACATCCCCCTTTTTATGGGATTGATTAAGAGAGAGAAATAAACTTATGCTTATAATAATTCCTTTAATCCTTAATTCGCGCACCTTCTTTTTACGTTTTTAATAAAGAGAAGAAAATCATGTATTGTGTAATTCACGTAGTTGCCCAATGGATATATGTTGCGTTTATGTTAGTACATATTCAGTATATGTTGCAATGAAAAACATGTCTTCTACCAAAAAAAATATATTGTTGTATTTTTTTTTAAAAAAAAAATTTAACGTTCATTAAAAAATAACGCCCGACACCTATAATTACGGCAATGATTGCTAATTAAATAAAAACATTAAAATAGGAATCCATTATATATGAAATGGAAATATATCCAAAACATAATTCCAGATTAATATATGTTGAGTTTATACGTGGTATATTAAGATAATATTTTATTGAAAAGACGAAACTAATAAATGAACAATTTTTTTTTAGTATATTAGGAGATTATTGCAACATATACTAAATATATACTACATCGAGGTTGCTTCACAAGATTTCGAATCCATGTAGTTTATAAGATTTAATTTTGATTGATTAGAAGAAGAGGGAGAGGGGGCGGGGGAAGAGGGAGAGAGAAGACAAAGAGAGGGGAGGGAGAGAGATAAAGTGTATAATTAATTTCAATTAAAGATTTCATTAGTATTTAATAAGTCAAAAAAAAGATAGTAACAGTTGCATCTTATATGTTAGGTATAATTGAATATTTTTAGCCTGTTTAGGTAATTTTATAAATAAGAATATAATGAATATATAAATGTAATAAAAATCATAGCTTGAAGTAAGGAGTACAAATTGCTCTAAACTAAATAAATCAGCCCGGAACTTTAGTTATCACTCGGGCCGTAGCCACGGATCCAAATGAAGCTGCCCACAATCCCATCCAATCACATCTAGCAAACATGGCCTTAAACGATATGCAATATACTACTTCAAAAGCAGTCCTATGTACTGTCAAATGACCAATCATCACTGCGCAAGCAGGTGCTCTAATTGATAAAAATCCATATTCGTACAGGCAAAAGAATTAGTTTATCCAACATGCCAAAAACACCAGAGCAATTGGTGTAATGTCACCTGTAATTTGTGCTTTTTGGTTTATATATTGAAATCCGTACACGGCGAGTCGATAGCAACAAAAGCTGCATTTCGTTCAATATTCAAGTAATACAATCGTTGTCAGATTCTGCAGTGTTCCCCAATTAGTCACCAAAAGACCACTTATTTTGCACCAATAACTTATGTCAAATCGTTACTGATGTTTATCGACCAAGGAAGAATAAGCAATAATAAAATGAACTCCTTCGCGACGAGTACATGTGTGAGGAACATCAAGTTGCACTGGTCTTCCATCACATGAATTGGAAGATGCCAGCTGTATGATTAAATCCACAAGATATTTCAAATGCTTTGACACTCTTGTGAAAGTCGAGCAACGTTGGCTCAATGTAGTCAGCATCATTGCCTTGACCCTGAGAGCTAATTTAGTATTAGTTTTAACAAATAAATAAATATAAATAAATAATGGCTACATATCTTAAGACCAGAATCTACAGATGATGTAATGTGATGGAAGAAACCAAAATGAAAACACCCTTTTGTTATATTCGAAACTGCAGTTAATTTATTTGTTTACCATTATTTATCTTTTTCTTTATTACACAGGAAAAAAGTTTTGGTAAATGTGAATACTCGGAAGTCTGGGAACCGAATCATGAAAACATGGCAAAAAATAGCTACTATTTCTCTTATATGTTTATAAACATACTCTGGGTATTTTTCAAGTGCAGGCAGCCACAGATATAGTTTAGCTTCTCTAGACAGACAACAGAGACTATCAACCAGTTATAAGCATGTACAAGACCAGGCTTTTTAGAATGCATTAATCTACTCGTCATAAACATGTACAAGAGCAGGTCCTTTTGAAATTAGACTGTCATGTATTAATCTACTCATAATCATGCACAAGACAAGGTTCATGAGAAATAAGACTGCCTAAGCATCTTGCCAGTGACTCGGATATCACACAGATGTCTATAAAAAAATTGTGACTCGGATATCACACAGATGTCTATAAAAAAATTGTGAGAACACAGAAGAAAAAAAAAAAGAAAAAAAAAAAGAGATACAGAAATAAAAGCTAACCAATTGTCCGCCTGGTGAATGTCCATCGTCTTGAAATGTTCCATGTGAACCACCCCAACCCCACGTGTAAACGTTACCTCCTACATGGCAGTAAATAACTTACATCATTTCATACATCAAGAACCGCAACTTTTGATACATCACACATATTTAAGAGACTCTTTGGAAGAGGTTACGACTCTTCATAACATCTTATACGATTCTTACTAACCTCTCTTTAATACTCTTCAATAGAAACTTTTAGAAGAGATGTCATTTAGCCATACGATTTTGTAAAAGAGTTCGGCCATCAAAACATACTCTTGGAAAAGAAAATCTCATTACAAAACCTCTCTAATTTGACATTACAAAGATATATGTGAATACTAAAATGTGTATGTTCTAAAATGTTATTATATCCAAACACTTCAGTAACTTCTTCCCCAACTAAGATCTATAATCTTAAAAGACCTGAAAGTGTCTTATCAAATGTAGAAACTAGTAAGATCATTGAAATAAATCCACCCTAATACCATCTAAGTAAACTTCTTATCTCAAATTGGCCAGACCATAAATTCATCAGTTGATCAGAAATATGGCTCGCAAGGTACAATAAGACAATATGCACACATATATATTCATAGATGTAAATGAGAAAACCCAGCAAATGAAAGCAAGTAGACCAATGTACAAAGTACATCAAGTGTCGAAGCAGTTGGAAGCTTGTGTACTTGCGAAACCTGGAATACGTGTGTTTTCTGATACTTAAGCCTCAGGTTTTCAATTAGTCATCAGCAAAGAAAAGATTCTCATAATTCCATAGCTTAGATACCTATGTAAGTGAGCGATGACTTCCACAGCATTAAATAATGAGAGCAACAGTAAGCTTCTAGATTTAAGGAACTAAAATAGATTACAACAAGGAGTGTGGGAGCCCTGGTAAAGGAGGAGGGTTGTGATAGGCTTGACGAGCCAACGTAAAACTTAGCCGTTTTATGGAGATGAAACACATGAGAAATTCGTTGGGGCGTAACCCTCTTAGCGACGCCCCATATCGGAACCCGGGTATGGTGTCAAATGGGCAAGGGCCGGGTTGTCTCCCCCTCGGTGACGCGCCATGTCGTGGTTTGGGCATGGTGTTAAGTAAGCAAGGACCGGGTCGTCATTTCCTTAATGGCGCGCTACATCGGCGCCCGGGTGTAGTGGAAAATGAGCAAGGGTCTTCGCATCTCTCTCGACGGGTGCGAAGGGCAAGGAAGCTAGTCGAACCAACTAGGGTCCCTATAGGTAGTTGGAACGTAGGGTGGGCTAGTCGATGCAGCTACTAGGAGGCGTGTAAATATCCTATGCGTCCAGGAGACTAGATGGAAGGGAAATAAGGCGAAGGAGGTGGAGGATACTGGCTTCAAGCTTTGGTTCACTGGGGCTTCATCGAGTAGGAATGATGTAGGCATCTTGATCGATAGGAGCCTTAAGGATGGAGTTGTAGATGTTAGGAGGCAAGGCGACTGGATTATCCTAGTCCGATTGGTAGTTGGAGATTTGACCATGAATGTGATGAGTGCCTATGCGCCTCATGTAGGTCTTAGTGAGAGCGCCAAGAGGCAATTCTGGGAGGATCTGGATACCTTGATTAGTACGGTGCCTGCCAGCGAGAAGCTCTTCGTAGGTGGAGACCTAAACAGCCAAGTGGGTGCGACTAAGGTAGGTTTCAAGAGAGTGCACGGAGGGTTTGGGTATGGCAGTAGGAACGAAGAGGGAGAGGGAGTGTTTACTTTGCGATGGCCTACGACTTGTTGATAGCGAACACCCTCTTTAGGAAGAGGGTAGTGACCTTCCATAGTGGACGACACTCAAGTCAGATCGACTTTATCCATGCAAGAAGGGAGGATAGACGCGCTTGCGTAGATTGTAAGGTGATACCTGGGGAGTGTGTTGTCCCCAGCATAAGCTGGTGGTGGCGGACTTTCGATTCCGAATACGTGTCCACCGGGATAAAAGACCGTGAGAACGAAGTGGTGGAAGCTTAAAGGGGAAGCGCCGCAGACGTTTAGGGATAGAATGCTAGGCGAGGGGCCTTGGGAAGAAGGAGAAGATGCAGATGACATGTGGCTAAAGATGGCAACATGGGTACGGAAGGTGGCTGCAGAAGTACTTGGTGTGAGTAGGGGAGGCAAGCAGGAAGCGAAAGACACTTGGTGGTGCAAATGATGAGGTGCAAAGGGCTATTCAAGAGAAGGAGTGTTTCAAGCGTCTCCACCTTGACAATAGTGCAACCAACATTGAGAGCTATAAAATAGCGAGAAGGGCTGCAAAGCGTGCCGTGAGTGTAGCGAAGGGTTAGGCCTATGATGACCTTATCAGCGCCTAGGCACGAATGAGGGGAGAAGGACATTTATAGGATGGCTAGGATTCGGGAGAGGAAGACAAGGGACATTAACCAAATCAATGCATCAAATCAATGCATCAAGGATGGGTCGGATCGGCCACTGGTGAAGGATGAAGAGATCAAGGACAGATGGCGAGAGTACTTCGAGAAATTGTTTAATGGGGAGAGTGAGGATCTTACCTTGGAGTTGGATGACTCATTTGAGGATACCAATAAACGCTTTGTGAGGAAAATTCAGGAGGCAGAGATCGGAGAGGCTATGACGAGGATGAAGGGAGGTCAAGCAATGGGCCCTCATGGTATCACCATTGAGGTGTGGAGATGCTTGGGCGCCAGAGCGTTAGTATGCCTAACTAAACTTTTTAACCACATTTTTCGGTCAAACAAGATGCCTGATGAATGGAGAAGAAGTACTTTAGTACCGATCTTCAAGAACAAGGGAGATGTTCAAAGTTGTAGTAACTACCGTGTGATTAAGTTGATGAGCCACACGATGAAGCTCTGGGAGAGGGTTATTGAGCATCACCTACGACGAGTGACGAGTGTGACCCATAACCAATTTGAGTTTATACTTAGAAGGTCGACCATGGAGGCGATTTTCCTAATACAACAAATGATGGAGAGATATAGGGACCAAAAGAAGGACTTGCACATGGCCTTTATCGACCTTGAGAAGGTCTATGACAGAGTACCGAGGAATGTCATGCGGTGGGCCTTAGAAAAGCACAAAGTCACATTTAAGTACATTACCCTCATCAAGGATATGTACAAGGATGCGATGACGTGTGTCCGAACATGTGGGGCGATACCAGCGACTTTCCAATTAAAATATGACTACACCAGGGGTCAACATTGAGCCCTTATTTATTTGTCTTGGTGATGGAGGATGCCACAAGGGACATACAAGGTGATATCCCTTGGTGTATGCTCTTTGCTGATGATGTGGTGCTAGTTGACGAGAGTAGGGCAGGAGTAAATAGGAAGTTAAAGTTGTGGAAGGACGCGTTAAAGTCGAAAGGT